ATTCTTTGAGTAAACCAATATTAGAGAAAAAATAACCTCTGCTTCCTTTTCTCACCCCTCATCAACTTTGAGTGTTTCAGTGGCCTCTTTCCATATAACTTCGGTATTGAAGCTGGGCAAAGGTTGATTTTTTTGGCTAGCCTTGATATCATACCTCCACAATTAGAAGTAATCCACAAATTCTATGTAAAGCCCCTCTGGTGTTCCCGTTCATCTATGTCTCCTCTGTGTGACATAAACCCTTTAAAGGAAGAAAATGGGAAGTTTGGAGGAGGTGTGGGGGCGGGAGAGGGGGATTAAAATCTTGCTCTACATTGAATAATGTAAGAATTTCCATTTACAGAGAGCCTTCTAGGTGATAGGAAATTTCCACATATGTTAAAAATCTTTACATTATGCGATGGAGACGAAACTTGTTATTCCCATGTTATAGAAGCAGCAACCGAGGCTCACAAATACTTTATGAGTCATCCCAGTTTTCAGAATTAGCAAGGACCATGCCTGAGTCCATCCTAAATTGGTCTGGGCTTCAGAAGAAATGTTCTCAGTGATCCTCTCCCACCCCAACCACATCTTTTATGAAAAAAAGATCACCTGGAAATTTTCCACGTATGTTCTTAGTTCTAAAGACTCTACCCCTGGAACCATGTTCTCTGAGGTTGTTTCTTTCTCAGTTGTTACCGTAAGAGAGTATTTACCGAAATTCTTCCTGCCTGTATTTCTACTGAAGTGTGGAACTGAAATGTAGCAAATACCGAAAAGGAGTGTGAGACTATTTCTCATACTTATGTATGATAATTTATAACAGAATATTTCAGTAGCTACCTTTGTGATCCATGTTATTTCAGAAATATCACAGGTAGAAAACAATGGTCACAAATGTTCAAGGATTGCTGTATGGATTTCCTAGGATTTGGCTAGGTTATGTCAGCAGTCTTAACTTTCTGCATTCTCCTTTGCCTGAGGCCTAATGAGGTTGGATTTATATAGGGCTGTTTGGCCCTAAACATAAGTACTTACATTTCAATATCTATTTTCCATGAAGGGAAGACTTTGAGAATCTTAGAAACTTCTTGGTTTTGTTACTCTGAACAGATCTGACTCTGGAAGTGGTGGGTACAGTAAGAACAACTTCTTGTGTAGAAGCTTTGCTAGTTATGCCAAAAATAATATGGCAACTCAGTGGGACCAAAATATTGCAGTCCAAGAGGGAGGAGCTTGTTACTTGTGCTTGAATCATACCAACCAATGACATCTCAGTCTATGTACAAGCCAAGAGAAATTACAAATCTACAGCCTATCTTTGAAAGAGAAGAGGGAGAAAACATACAGAGCTCTTGACCTGAAAATATGTCTTTAATCTACTTAAATCACTTCCTGTTAAATACCATTGTCTTTTAAGTCACATTCATTTCCTGCAAAAGATTCATTCTCTAGGGTAAGACCTTGTCTTTTCATAGGTTGTGTAAAATGGCACAGACACTTTTAGCACGGTTGGTGTAACAGATGGCTCATTTGTAACAAAAGGATAAGAACAATGTCAGCTTCATGACATGTCCTAGAAGCTTGGTATACAAGAAGAGCCCTGTTTCATATATATTACAACCACACTATAATATGTTGTGATGGTTTGTTTACCTCTAGGAAAACCCAATACTTCTTCCAACCGGGAAAACAGACCACTGAGAGTTAAATATACTTATGGAAAGAGTCTTTGCTTTACAAGACAACTTTTCCCCCCCACTAAAGAGTCTCTTTAAATAGCTAGATCTCCTTTTAGAATATACAAAAATGGATTTGCTTTACAAAAATGTCGATCCCAATCAACTTTTCAGGAGCATAGACAATGTACAAAAATGGAGCATTGCCTGTCAGGTGTCAATGATGACATCTCAGCAATTGCAGTGGAACAAACCAACCACTCACTCACCATTTTCTTAGCCCGCTGAAGTCAGAATACTAAATGGGAATGGTGGCTTTTATAGACCCTCATCCCAGGAAGGAAGAATAATATACTAGCACCAGAGTCATTGATCATCACTAACTGTGTGACATTGGCCGCCAAAGGTACCAAACTGTGGTCCTCAAAAGTCATGCATTATTCTGCATGGACTGAATTATCAGCTCAAAGGAGGATACTGCTTATTGAGACAGTTGTGAGGCTAAAGCTGATGACTTGTTTTTCTTTTGTGGGGCTGGAGATAAAGCCCAGGACTTCCCACATGTTAGACAAATACTGTAACACTTAACTGTTTCCTCCCACCAGATGGCATATTTAAAAACGTGAAAACAAAATCTGTGTGACAGATACGTGTTAGTTCTTTCATATATGTTATGATCATAGAGAGGAAAAGGAATATTTTCCTAGCTAGGAACCCAGGTCAGGAGTTGGAACCCCTGTCCTACAGGCAGATAAGTGGTTTCTCTGTGTGTCACATCCTCTCTCTGTACAAGCATGGCGAACACAGCAGATAGCTGGCCACCAGTCATTGCTGCTGGCTCTCATTTCTGACACCGATCAGGAAAAGCTTTAGCAAGGAATCTATACTGCACTGTTCAATTTAGCAAGGAAGTATTGTACAGGCACTTTGCTAGACTCAAAGACAGAAAGCAAACAAGTCAGGGAGTGAAGGAAGAAGTGCACATTTAATAAAACATTTGAGGGCCTGTAAATGCCATACGGAGTTTTTAAGTAGTGTTCCGAGATAGCCCTTCTAACAAAAAGCATGCTCCATCTCAACCATGGCTACTCTCTGACAAGAGTTCTTTAGGGTGCTGAGAACCCTTCCAGAAGTTCGATCCAGTTTGCTGAAAGGGTTTTTCTTAATACTGTATACGGCAAATACATTAAGCTCTGTAACAAAAATTAGGGTGGAGTGCTGAGGGCTGAGTTCACGGGCATTCGACTCTGGGAATTTCTTCCCGTGTCTTAGAAACCTGGAAATACTCTGTGCCCTCCGGGGTGTGGATGGACCAGAGTTTTCCATAGACTGGTCGACTGGTTTGGGTCTGGCGATGACGGCGTGAGGAGAGAAGCAGGTGGACAGGGTTACGTGGGGATTGTTGGGGAGCGACGCAAATGCAGCGGGGTGGGAGTCCTGGTTAGGTTTGCACTTGGGGTTCGGCCGCAGTTGCGTGCGTGTCCGTGCACAGCCCTGTCGTCTGTCTAGTGCACGCAGTTCCAGCCCAGGGCAGCGCCGTGGGGGTCGGGGGGTCGGGGCGGGGGGACTCTCACCAGACACGAGGAATAAAGCCCGATCTGTGTCCCCAGTGGGAGAAAGGGTCTCCGTGGCTGGAAACGGGACGATCGGGGAAAGGGGGTGAGTGGCCCAGGCGCGGGAGTGCAGGAGGTGGGTTGCTGGGAGGGGGGCGTGAGGGGGAGGGAGGAGGCCGCCCCTCCTGGGCGGGGCGGGAGCCGGCCCCAGCCGCGATCGTCGCACCCCGCGGCTGGCGCGGTGCTGGGGTGTGCGGTGGGCGGGGGCCGCGGGGTGGCTCGGAGCCCTGGCAGCGGCTGGCTGACGTCACCGGCCTCTCCGGCAATAGGCTGCGAGCTGAGCTCCCCGGAGCAGCGGCGGCGAAGGCGGCGTCTGGAGCGCGGCCGGCTGGGTCCCCGGCCCCTTCGCTCCGCGCCTTCCGCAGCTCCCCGCCCTGCAGCCGGCCGGCCGCTCCGGCTGAGAAACCCACGTCTGCCCCCTCCGAAGCCTTCCGAGGGCCGGGAGGCCCCGCGACCAGCGAGAGAGGTGCGTGGGGAAGGACGGCTCGCGCGGCCTGCGCAGCCCCCCACCCCGGCGCCCCCCATCCCCGGCCCCCGCCGGCCCCCGGCCCGGCCCGGGCCGCGCGCGCCGCCTCCGCGCTCCGCAGTGCAACAGTTAGCCGGCGCCTCCGGGGAGCTGCGGGCGGGCTGCGGGACCACCGGCTCCGGGGACCCGGGGGCTGGGGGCTGGGGGGGGCGTTGGAGGGCGAGGGCTCGGGAAGGCCAGAGAGAAGATCCGATGCCCAAACTTTGCAGGCGGGAACCCTCCCCCCTGTACTTGCAGCTCCCCGGTGGGTGGCGCGGGGAGCTGGGGGGAAGGGGGCGTTGGCGGGGATGAGCCTCGGCGGCGAGGAGAGAGGTGTTCAGCTCCTTCTCTTTTGGAGGGGGGTTCTAGGTGGGGTGGGGGGTGGAGAGCAGCAGCCAGAGAAACAGACACACGCCCGGGGCACGATCCTGTGCCCCAGCCCGCGGGCGGGGACCGAGGCAGAGTGGGGATGCGGTGCCAGGACTGTCTGTCCTTCCACCCCCGCCTCCCCCGGGACTGGGACACCAGATTCTGAGAGGAAGAGCCTGGGGGGGGGGGAAGGGGGAGCAAAGGAGCGCCGTGCTCCCCTGGGACCCACTTGGTGGCCCCGGGGGTGGTGGGTGCTGGGGGGAAGGGTGGGGGGCAGGATCGGGGCGCAGGGAGCCCGGGGCGGGTGGAAAGTTGTGAAGGACGCGGCTCGGCTGCGGGATCTGCTGAGTAATGTGCGGAGCCGGGAGGTGCGGGGCGCAGACCCCCCCCCCCGCCTTGCGGGTTCGTCCAGGGGGCGCCGGGCCGGGCGGTGGGTCCGACCTTACCCCCCACTCCCCCTCACCCCGCACCCCGGGCTGCGGTGGGGAACGGCGGCTCCCCGGCGGGGCTCGCTCGCTCGCTCGCTCGGCGGGGCGGACCGATCCTCAGTCCCTTGCGCCGCCCGGGGCAGCGGCGGCGAGGACCCTAACGAAGCCTGTTCTCTTTGCAGCCGGGCGCCTCTGCGAGGGAAAAAAATAAACTAGATAAAAAAGATCCTTCCAGAAGGGGAGCGGAGGAGAGCGGCTCCCCCGGCCGGCGCCCGGAGCCCCGTGGCCGGCGGCACTTGCCAGCAGTGGCTCCCCCCGTCCTTGGCCGGCGCGCCCCCCGCGCTCCCGCGCGCCAGGGAGTAGTTTCGGGCGGCGCGGGCCCCGTCCTCTCCCTCGCCTAGCGGGGACGGTGCGCCCGAGAGAGGCAGCTCGGCGGGCCCGGCCCCCCCCAGCCCAGCGCCCATGAGTGCCCGGGCGCCCAAAGAGCTGCGGCTGGCGCTGCCGCCTTGCCTCCTCAACCGGACCTTCGCGTCCCCCAACGCCAGCGGCGGCGGCGGAGGCGCGGGGGGCCGCGGCCCGGGCGCGGGGGGCGGCGGCGCGTGCGTCACGCAGGTGGGACCGCAGCTCTTCCAGTCCTTCTCGTCCACGCTGGTGCTGATCGTCCTGGTCACGCTCATCTTCTGCCTCCTCGTGCTGTCCCTCTCTACCTTCCACCTCCACAAGCGCAGGATGAAGAAGCGGAAGATGCAGAGGGCTCAGGAGGAGTACGAGAGAGATCACTGCAGTGGCCGCCGCGCCAGTGGGCGGCTGCCCCGGCCGGGTGGGCAGACCCCGATCCAAGGGAAAGAAAACCGGCTGGAGAGACAGCCCCGAGACTCTGCCCCGTGCGCGCCCTCGAACGCCACCGCCGCGGGGCCTGGCCTGGCGGCCCCGGGGCCCTGCGCGGCGCCTCCACCTCCGCTTCCAACCCCCAGCCCGCAGGCGGCGCACGCAGCCTCCTCCTCCTCCTCCTGTTCGGACACCGCTGGCGAGGGCCTTTTACAAACGGTGGTACTGTCCTGATTGTCCCACCCCGCCTCTTCACCCCTTCCTCATCTCCGGCATCTTCACCATCCTCGCCTTCCCCCAGGCCTGCCTTCCTTCCGCCCTTCCTTCTCCATCCCCTCCCCCCCACCCCCAAATCTGGCCTCTCTGTCCTCCCCCCCCGCCCCCCCCCCCCCGGGCCTCCCTCGGACTCTTGCTTCTCCTCCGCCGAGGCACTGTGCGGTATTTGTAAATATTGGGTGAGGAAAGTCTCAGCAGAAGAAATAACGCTGACAATACTTTATTCATATTTATAGTAATTATAATACTAATAACACAATCCAAGCGCATGACAAATCACATAATTTCTCCTTGTCAACGAAGGATGCGTCTTTCCTCTCCACCCCGGGCCCCCCGCCCCCCTCAGTCAGGAGGAGAAACCGCACAAGCTACCAAAAACACGCAAGGCAACCCCGTGCAAAAGGGAGGGGAGGGGGCCCCGTGATGTACATAGCCGTCAAGTTAGGGTTCCGCTACCCTCCTGCCCCCCCCTCGCCCCCAAGCTTCCACTTTTCCTTTGCCTTCTCTCCCTCCCCGTCTCTCACCCCAAGCTGGGCTCAGCCAATCGTCTACGAGAAGAGAAATGCGGATGTGATTAAGCACCAGGACTGTGGAAGGCCACAGAAAAAGCCCCAGGAGAGAAAAACCCCAAACAAACAAAAGTTTAGGACAGGTCACCCCTTCCACCCACCCGCCTTCTCACAATGACCTTTTCCAAGATAGAAAAGTTTGATTTACTTTTAGACATGCCTCTCGCTGGCCGAGCGTCAAAGCCTTTAAATGCACTAAGAACAAAAGCAAAAGCTGTCTGCTCCCCCCTCTCCCTTCCCCTGCCCTCCCCCCAAACCTCCCCCACCCCCTTAACACCTTTGACTTGTGGTGTTTGGAGAGATCCCGGAGCTGTCCACACTGCTCTGGTGCTGAAATGGCCTCACCTAATGCGTATTTCCTTCGTGCAGGTCAAGGAGGGGCTGCTAGGGAAAGCAATTCTTAACGGCTTTTGGTTGGTTTCTCTCTTCTTTTTCTCCAACCGAGTTAGCGTGTACTATTGTTTTTCTTATTTATTAAACGTTGCATAAGTTATCTTTTTGTAAAAAAAAACACAAAACAAGACATAAAAACATATTAAGTGACGTGCAGTACTAAAGTATCTAACCAACCAGAATGTTTCTGTTTCAGTTTGAGAACAAGTGCACCTTTGTTGTATACTTATTATCTTGGTACCAAAAACAGAAGAAATTATAGTTCTGTTCGACATCCTCCAAGCTGTATATTCTTGTTGATGCTTTCCAGCTGTTGCTATAAAGGGTCCTGCTGGATGAGGAATTCGGTGTTGTGGGCTGGTCCTGCTGATTCTGCCCTTTTGTACCTTACTCTGTAGCTGACTGTTATAAAAAGATGACATGTATGTTTTCTTTTTTTTTTTTTAACCTCTTGCGAATAACAGAAACAACCACCACTACAAAAAAATAATGGATGCGCTGGAATGCCATCTATTAAAACACGGTTAATATTTAAACAGTGCCCGTAATTCTCCCTGCATGCACTTACCACCTGGAGGCAGTGTGCGTGCTTGCTTGTGCTGTCTGTGTTTGAGGAGGGACTGGTGGGGATGTTGGACAATTTGTATGACAGGACATGCAAATTTCAAGAGAAGTTAAAGCAGCCAGTACTTAATGGGATAAAAATGTTTCATTACAAATCTGTGCCTGTATTTGAGATTCAGCAGAAAAGGGTCTCTCTTCCTTGTGAGTCTGGCTTAGCTGACATTACTGAATACATGAAAACAAATATGAAGGGAGAAAAGTGTAGGGGAAGATAAATATTTTATTCTTACTCTTAATGCCAGATAAGTCTATCTATATTAGGAATGGAGTCTTCCTCTGATTATTTCCCACTTTGTTTCCCTTGGGTAGATGGCAGAGAGTTCTAGAAGCATATTTATAATCTTAATTATAGGCACTGGCATCCCTTCTTGGAAACTTAATTTTGTGACAGCTATTCAAATGTTTGTAAAAAGTTTGAATGAGAACCATCTAGAAGAACCTTAACGGAAAGTCTTTATCATATTGCTGTGTGTAACATGGCCCCTGAGTGCATCCCTCTCCAAGTAAGGATGATGATATGGATTCCTGTCTTGGTTTCGGCCATAAGTGCAGTTGTCCAGAAAAAAAAAGATGGCCCTTGGTGATTTTTCGTCACCTCAAGATCAGTTCCCATCTTTTATATTTATAAAAAAAAATCAGCTTAATTTTAACCACCCATTAGATACTCACCCAAGTCCTTTTCCTAAAGTACAGAAGACCATGGCTTAAGCATACATAACATGTTATAATATTAGAAAGACCAGGTCTGATCTTGGACACAGTATATTAAACAATGAGCCAGGCTCTCTCCGGTGCCTTAGTCGCATCCTAGTAATAGGTAAAAGAGTGCATTAACTCCCGCAGACCACTAAGGAATCCTTTAGTGCATCAGAGCTCGATATTATACATCAGGATGACTAAGGCACTGGGGAGGAGAAAGTCCATTAATTTTTGTAGCTTGCGCTCATCCAGCTGAAGCTCTTTAATACCTGCTTACAGAATCACTTTTGGACTTGAGCTTTGAATGGAATCAGGAACCCAAGAGGGAGCTTCCTCATTTCCAAATGAACTCTACTAAAGTGCATGGATATTACTTTCTTCCCTTTATCTGGTGCACTTTATTTTTACAGTGAATAATTTCCCATTTTATTAAAGCAATAAGATATTCTGTTGTGAGCAGTGCTAGATGATGATTCCATTTCCTTGGTGCTGAAGCTACTCATATGTTCTTGCCTTATGAATCATAGTACATTCAAGGCATGCAATAATATTTCCCTTCCAACAAGCAGTCCGTATACCCTAGTGGGTAATGTCCTATATAATTTTTCCCTGAAGGAATAGAAAAAGAAAAGGAAATAAAATGATTTTTTGTTGTTAAAAAAATCTTGATACCTCTAAACATGGGCACACATCTGTAATCTATTGTTATTTTCTACCTGAATGTGTGTATGCCTTTCTCCATTAACTGACTATCGTTTAAAACTCCTAATAGCATCTCGTGTAAAGATGATGCATTTATATTCACTCTGAGTTCAAAACAGTCAGAACCCTAAGCTTCTGGTGGTGTCAAATAAAATCTAGTAGGACAGTTCCCATACCAAATTACTGAATAAGCACACATCCAAGCAATTTGTGTAGACCTTGCTAAAAGCACGCCTTATGGAGCTCAGTTGACAGTCCCAGGAGTTTGGGATGCTACCCATAGGGCATTTTGATTTTTATTTCTATGAAACAAAAGGCAATATAGGAATAGCTTAATTTCTTTTAAGGATTTTATTCACTGATGTCCCGTCAAACAAATTACTCCAAACCCCTAATAGCTACAGCTCAACTTCTGCACTTGCTATTATCAATAAGGTGGCATGCTTGTTATTGTTTTTTTTTAATGAGAAAATTGGGGAGAGAATGCCATTATGTTAACTCTATGGGACTCTGAATCTTTAAGATGTAAATGGATATAATCTTTAGAATTTATATACACTCATAGATATGTATTTATATATGTATACCTTTTGTACAAATTTACAATGGACTTTTTGTATTCTCTTTTCTGACATTACAAGAATGAGATGGAAACCAAATAATTGTTCCATCCTCTTATCCAGGAAGGATACTTAAAAGTCAGGTATATGCATGCATTTATTTCTCTGGGGTCAAATTTGAATGACTCCCTCTTTATTTAATGAGAAGGGAGAGCTGTGGTTGGCTCGGGAAATTGGTAATTAGATAAGCTTCCTTTCCTATGTCAGTGACTCAAATGTAGCAATGATAATAAAGTTATGACCATATCAATGTGGTCAAACTATCTAGATGGAATGCAAAAATATGCAAAAGAGGATTAGGGCGATTGAGACCACACACAACCCTGGTTTGTGGCTTGAATTTTTATTTTGTGTGAGATACAACTTATATCTGCATAGCTACAGGTAAAAAAATGAAAATATTATAATTATTTGTTTAGTTTGATAAGTAGTTTTTGGGAAAATATAGACACATTAGCTTTAAAACAAACTTCTTTGGCATCTGGCTTTTCCACCATTTCTATCTGTTATCAATTGAAGTTAAATAGATGATGGTTAAAATTTTATTTTTCCAGCGCGCAGAAGTAGGCTCTAAATGCTTTTCTGTGGAAGACAGCTGAGCAGTTGCTAATGGATATCATATGAAAGTTAGGGGCTAAATTAGAACCAGAAGGTTTTATCTACTATATCCAGGCTCCTGAAGTCATTTCCCAGGTAAATCTAGCCTTTGAACTTGACTCTAAAAAGCCACTTACCCTTTTCTGTGGAACTAGCGATTGTGGCTTACAGATGTTTCAGTTCATGTGACAATAAATTGGCCTAGTGATGGAAGGGTTTTTAATCATTGGACCCAATATAAACCTGATTATGATCTGTTGTTTAAAACTTATATGGCTTGACATAAATACTTATTAATGTCACCAACCTTATAATGCAATTGATGTCATCTAGACATGCTTAGCTGAGAATAAGAATTTAATTAAGTCTTATCAAGGTTGTCTTACCTATTTGGGGCAGAAACTTTCCCTGAGGCATGTGACGACATTTGGTTGTTTCTACAGAGAAATTAACAAGAACAACAAACAGCACCAACAGAACAACTCATTTTTGAACTTGAGTATATCCAACAGATAGAATAAAGAGATTAGAATTCATGGAAAAAATGTTTTGCTTTTCTATCAATAAAAGAGTTTTCTTGTTAATTGGCCTTTGGGACAATATTTTCTTATTAATTTCATGTATGATAAAGCAGGATTACAAAATTACTCATCCTTACACCCTCAGATAAAATCTTCGAAAAGAAATTGACATTCTTTGTTGTTGTTGGCAGTGGTGATGGTGGTGGTGGTGGTGGTGGTGATGGTTGGTGGTAGTCGTTGTGGAGCTTGAATCCAGG